GATTCTAGTTTTATTGTCATTTGTATTAGAAACATAGTAGAGGTATAGGGGAGACACGGGCAGCCGGAATCACTTTCGGAGAGTGCCAATTCATAGCACGAAATTATTAAAAAATGATCTATCTGAATACTTTTATGTGGATTTTAATTATTTCAGAAACACTAAACACTACTATTTTAACTTTACAATATAGTTTGAGCAAGTTACGGCCTAAATTATTAAAGACTGTATTTGATTCTATTTGCCCGACCCTCTAGGGTAAAAGGAATCACAGGTGAGGGCAAAAGGATTCAAAAGAAAAAATATAATATGGAAAATAGAAAAATATATATTATCATTATGGAAAACTGAAAATGGTAACTCTTACAATAATTATTCTCTTAACCTAATTATTTTCTCTAATCTTTAACCTGATTTTATTAATCTTGATATAGGGGAAGAGTAGGTAATACGCCCCACTTTTTTTCAAGGGCCTATTGAAAGAAAACATTTGAAGATATCGGCAAGATCTTAATCAGGGGCATAGCTTGGCTCTTTTACAACGTAAAGACAGATGTTACATTGATCTAAATCGTTTAGACAGATATTGATTGCATATTTTCCAGAACCTTGAGTGGGGCGTTTTGTCAACTGACCCTCAGGTAATACGCCTCGCACGAGTTGCAAAATGCCCCACTACCTTCAATATTATAGTAATTTGAAGATATAAGCAATAATTGAAAAAATGAACATTCAAATAACTTTAATGAATATCAGAGTAAGATACAGCACTTCTGATGAAATAAAACTAGAATATTACTTTTGTACAAACAAAAATGAAATGATAATTCGACACTATTAGTGTTTGATGAAGTGATAAAATGAATCTTTGAAATATAATACATAGGTATATAATGTTTATACGCATGAATGGAACTCATTTCTGGATAGATGCCCTTTTAGCTTTTCGTCCACAACGATTACACATAGGAGCATACATTGTACAAAATTCATGCAGCCATGCTGAACAAGTGGGACATTGGATCCAATCCTCTGTAGATTGTGTTTGGTAATAGTTTTCAGTACATTCGGCACATCTATTTGGATCCTCATCAGATAGCTCTTCTTCCGACTTCTCAAACGTCTCCATATTTTCATCATTGCTATCTGAAGACGATGAATCCCACGCATTCTTCTTTGGCTTCTTCTTTAACACCTTTTTACCTTTTACTCTACTAAGGTCATCCCTTTTTTTCGTATTAGTCACTTTTGTTTTAGCCTTCTTGAGTTTATTACTCTCAGCTTCAGCTTTAATCTTTCTTTTATTTGCCAGTAATGTTCTTTTCTCAGTATTTTCCGGCGAAGTGAGAATGATTGCTGTTTGTTTCCTTTTGGACATATTTTTTGGTAGTTTGGGCACTGGATGTATTTCACTTAGAACTTTGGAAGGCGTTTCTTTGTCTTTTACATCAGAAGATTGAATGGCTTCTTCAGGCGTTTTATCACAAATGCCTACTTGTTGGGATGCATCATTTTGTGGGTGCTTTTGCGGCGTATTCACAGATTCGTCATCATGTAGGGAGATTGGAGTGCTGTGGAGACCTGACGTTCCTGGCTGTGACAGAATCTCAGTTGCTGGTGCAGTATTTCCTGTAAGACTCTCATATCAGTACTTCTTGTACTTTGATTGTTGACTTCGTCAATGTCAACTAAATTTTGCTCTTGTAGCGAATCTGATAATGAGAAATGATAGTCTGCAACAGCATGGGGATCAAATGGATAGATACCGCAGCACTTCAACGCTGAAACACCATTGGATACAGTGGCGGCCTTACCAAAAGCCTTGCCAATCAGTTTTGAGACATCATAGCGCGTCAACTTCTTTTCTCTATTTTGTACCATCCAAGATTTAGCTTCTTGTGCAAAAAACATTTTGGGTGGCCTAAAAAAGGCCTTGTCAAGAGGCTGAAGTACATGCGTTGTGTGGCTTGGCAGGCATAACAGTATCACATTATTTTCTTTGGCTACTTCTAGTACCCGAATATTGTTACTATGCGAACTGTGACCATCTAATATTAATAAAGTCGTTCGAGGACCTTTGTGTCGTAAAAATACTTCTTCAAACCACTGCATGAACAAGTCCGAGTTAATATAGGATGATTTTTTATTCATAAGGACCCGTGATCCTGGTGGAAGCCCTTCAGAAAACTGGGGCTTAGTGTAAGTTCCCTTATATATTAATGTAGGAGGCATGAAATTACCTCCAGCATTGCAACATGCTATAACTGTCACATTTTCACCTTTTTCACAACTTGTGAGAGTATATACATCTTTGACCCCTTTTGTTGCCACTACTTTTCCTGGCTTGTTATTAACCTGAATCTCTGTCTCATCCATGTTATATATATCTTCAGGATGAGATGCAAAGTCATTTTCTTCGTAAATTTTGGCCAAAAGGTCATAAAAATATTGAATGTCTTTTCTGTTTACTCCATATGCTCGTGCAAGTGATAAGCCTTCTGATTTTCTTTGAGTTAGTTCTGGATTTCTTTTCATAAATCCAGTAAACCACACCCTACCAGCTGATCCCGACCTTTCAGAAAATGTATGTTTGATGTCAAGTTTTTTTGCTAACTGGAAAGCCATTTCCCTCACATCATTTCTGTCTGGTGCAAAACCAACTTTTTCCAATTTTTGTATTTGTGCTACAAGTTTTCTTTCATATTCAACTGAAAATACAGGGTTGCGGCCAAAGGGGACCTTTGATTTTCCCGTTATAAGGTGTCTTCTCAATGTTCTGGATGGTATTCCAAAACGTCTGGAAGCCTCATTAATGCCCATAATTTTTCCCCGGACTTGCTGCATCGCCTCTTCCAAATCTTCAGCTGCCCATGACGCTCGTAGTGACTTCCGTTCATATTTTCGTGACATATTCTGGAAAACATAGGAACCATGAATAATATTTGCGGTTTTAATGGTGGGGCGAATTATAAACCATACAATGGGGCATATTGTAAAATATGGTGTCTAAAACGCCCCACTCTGATGCAAGAAAGGAATTTTAGGTTATGTTGTTTGACACACACAGAGCATGAAGCCAATTTTATATGTTTTAACATGGTGCATATAAGTTTGGAATAAAACAAATAGTATTAACGATATATAAATTTGTTTGGAACTTACCACAAATTGTCCGACCACTGAAAAACTATCCTTTGCAATATTTTTTTAACAAGCTACAGCACGCGTGTAGGAACATAAACCATGTTGCCGGCAGACTTTCTTCGATGCGCGGATGCCGCATTGTGCCGAAAAAGTGTGCTTGTTTCAGTGAAACGCTAGTGGGGCATTTTATCAACTGGGGCATATTACCTACTTTTCCCCTATATAAAATAAAAAAAACTATTATTAGTAGAAACTGAAAAAGGTATTCTATAATTATTCTTAACTCAATTATGTTCTCTGATCTTTGACCTGATTTTGACAATCTTGACAAATATAAATTCCAGTCTTGTAGCTTGTGCATTTCTGATGTGCCCACTTCTCACAGAAATTGCACTGTATCCAGTGTTCGCCTGGAATGGAGTTTTCAAAGGAATCGTCACATATCAAACATGGAGTTTCTTCTTCATCTGGAGCGGTTTTCGGTGGTGAAGGTGGACGAGGTATTTTCAGTTTGCTGGAATCTGTCTCTTGCTGGATCTTCCTTCTAACGCTTTTGACACATTCTTTGCTCTTACTTTTTTCTCTAATTTCTTCTTTAATTGGCGTAGAAGTCAAAATCTCTGATTTCTGTTGATTCCTTTTTGTTTTGGGTTCTTTTCGTTTATCACATTTAGGTATAATATGAATATCAATAATTTTAATGCGATTATTTCCTTTTGGAGCGTCACTAGCTGTTTTAAGGTCGTACTATTATTGAGACCAGAAGGTTCAGGTTTTGCGATATCATTATGGGCAGATGTATTGGGCGGTCCAATTTCAATAACATCCATATCTTGAGGATTATGGTTAATACGGACCTCTGGTTCTTCAATGTTAGTTACATCTGCTGGAAGGAAGTCCACTTCGGAAAAAACATCTAAATCACATCTTGCAATTCCAGTTTTTTCGAAACCTTTTATAGCGTTTGTTGGTGTTGCAGCTTTAAGGTAGGCATTATTAAACATTTTGCCTACATCAAACAACGTAACGCGTTGTGCAGGATGCGCTTTTTGCCACTTGTCAATTTCATTTTGGAAATAAGTTCCGAAAGGGCCATAAACGGACACATCTAGCGGCTGGAGCTTGTGTGTCGCGTGGGGTGGAACCGACAAAATGATGACATTATTCTGAGAGGCATAATCAAGGACATCAATAGACCTATGAGAAACATGATTGTCTAAGATTAATAGACATTTATGGTCTTCATTTAGTCTAACGTTGCTTACAATAAACTTCATCCACTCCAGGAAAGCTTCGGAACTTATCCATCCAGAATCAGTTACTAACTGAGAAGAGCCTGGTGGAGTTCCTTCCATGTACCTTGGATTTTTCTTTTTCCTTGGGAAAACTAGTGTAGGAGGAATATATGCCCCAGCAGCGGAACAACAAAACAGTGCCGTTACTAGTGTGCCTCGCTCGGAGGAAGATATAGCTCCAACTCCCTTTTTGCCTTTCAGGGAAATAACCTTAGGAGGCTTATTTGTAGAGGTTTGGATCCCTGTCTCATCTACATTGTACATATTTTCAGGCAAAATATTGTTTTTCTTATGACGTCCCTCAAATTTTCCTCTCCACTTGTGGGCGATTAAAGCCACTGGGTCGTGCAACACTGGTCGGCTCAGGTGTCCGTAAGCTTAACTCCGGATGTCTCTTCATAAAATTTTGATACCATTGCTGACCCGCTGCATTATTTTTAAAACAATGAATAATGTGGTTCGCTTCGGCGTATTGATATGCTAACACACAAAGATCTCGTCGCGTAAGCCCATAAAAACGGCTATCAAGCTCTTTGATATGAGTAACAAATTCTTGTTCTTCTTCTTAAATCTGCCCCGAGATTTAGTAGTTTTATTAGACTTCACATGCTTAAGGAGCGTTGAGAATGGAATGTTATATATTAAAGACGCTTTTCTTATCGACTCCCCGTTACGCACTGCTTGCAATGCATGTTCCATGGATGTTTCTGTCCAGGTGCTTCCTCGTTCCGACTTTCTTTTATAGTTGAAAACCATCTAGAGAAGAAGCGAAAATTACATACCTACATGAAAATCGAAAATTGATATACGGGCAAAAGGAATCATGATCCCTTTTGCCTGATTCCTCTTGCCCGAAATGCACTGTCACAAAGTAAATAAAAATTTACGAGACGTTGGCAACAATGGACATATTTTCAAGGTTAGGTAGAAAAGTAGAAGTGCCAATCTTTCGATTATTAACTAAATCGTTTTGAATAAATGGCCGAGTCACTACTTACCCTTCTTCAAAAATCCTTTGAACAACTATTCAAGACGTAATTAATTAGAACACCTTAAAAAATATGAGGTAAAAACTTTTGCACGAGGGAACGCGTTGCGCATGAACTTGTGCCATACTCAGCGAATTGTTAAACAGCGTTGTCAGGTTTCTGTGATGAAGCTGTTTTCATTTATTTAGCTGATTCCTTTTGCCCACTATATCCCTTTTGCCCGATTTTACCCTACTGTCATTGAAGTAAGTAATAATCCTCAAAATTTCTTAAGCAAATAACATTATAATAAACTATTAATATAAAATGGCGATATTAGCTTACTTTAATCCGGCAATACCCATCACGAGCACTGATAGAAATTGTTTACCTAGATGATATATAAGAAAAAAATGTTAATATTATATAACATGCCCTACATAATCCTTACATTCAAAGATGGAGGTACCACACTCAACAACATAAATATTACATAAATGTGACATCGATGTATTTATTCAAGTTTACGTAATATCAATATAACAAAAATTATCTAAATTGTAGGGTATACGTTTTACATAAAATTGATGTTCATGTAACACGTACGTTTACTGGGTAGTTTTTCTTACATGAGGTCACGACATTTAAAAGATATACTTGTGAAACAAACGCATGTTTATGTAGCAAGATCTTCCAAAATTAAACTAGAAATAGAAAAGGCAACACATTTCCTTGGGAATGGTTGTCACATGTGGCATCCAAACCCACTCAATCTGAGACATCCTGCCCCAAAACACGTTTTAGAATATTACCTCTTAAAGAAATTGAAATGGTGGCTTATTTGAAACAATCATTCAAAGGTATTATAAAACACATATTTTGAATTACAAATACATATAAAGGTGAAATACTACGTAAAATTTAGGTATACTCGACACAATTGCACAAAAAATTACTTTCACTGTGTGAGAAAAACATAGTCTTATTATTTCACGCTATCTGCCAGCAGACTGGGGTGAGGTGGGGAACGAGACGTGTCTATGGCGATGCTTCGTCACTTGTTTAATTTACTGTTATGACCTCTGTGACAACCAACTCATGAGACAACCGTACCCTTCAGGAAGTCTAGGGCATTTCTAGATTTCTACTTTTCCGTGTCAGCGTCAGCGCTCTCCTACTCTGAGGCTGTGTTTTCTTTTTGAATTGTAGGAAATTTCGGGCTGGTATAACAGATGATATAAAGCCATCAACAATTTCATGCAAATATATATTTGTAGCATAACCTCAAAATAGAGCGCTGACATGAACACGCGCAAATGTCCCATTATGTTGGTAGTCATCTGTTTTACTCCGCCTGGGGGTAACTTTTGAAGATAAGGGAATAGAATACCTGATAGGAAGTGACCGTGGTCTACTGACTTTTAGGGAATTTCATTCCTTAACATTGTTGGAACAGTGCCTCTCCAAGACATCCTTAGGAGAATAACTGTGGAAGTCAGTCTCATCTCGAGACAAAGACGCCCTTCGAATCAACACTGACCATCAGACAAAAGCCTGGCGCTGTAGAAATGAGGGTGACACTTCCTAGTTTCCAGAAACCGTTGGCGATGTAGTGACAGTAATACTATGGAATGCTGGGAATAACTCTCCATTAATGGCCACGAAAATGTGATGTAAATTACTTACGTATTAATGTCATTATTGGCTGATGATAGTGAGATGATTATTGGGCTTCAGCCTTCTCCATTCTTCAAAGTAGTCCTGGACTCATTATAACTTTGCGCTGTTCTAGTTTTAAAAACGCCCTTCTAATCAACACTGACCACCGGTCAAAAGTCTGGCGCCTCAGTTACCCCAAACCGATGTAGTGACAGTCGCACTATGGAATGCTGGGAATAGGTGTCGAGTAATGGCCACGAAAAACTGATGTAAATTACTGACATGTTAATGTCTTTATTGGCTAATGATATCTGGATGATTATGGGGCTTCGGCCTTCCTCATTCTTCCCTGACTTCAACTTCACTGTATGCAGTTGCCACACTGTAGTTTCAAAATTTAAAAACACTACATAGAAGACGATTCATCTCTTGTATCGTTAGGTTTCATATAAAACTAAATCTGTAAACTAGTTAAAATAGCTCTGCAACGTTAATCATAACCATTTCTTTCACAAACTGCATTCCTCAGACTATGGTCAATTCAAGACTTCCATTTTAAACAAATTTTCATTTTGAGGCAGTGTTGGGTTTAAGCTCGAATTCTGTCTTAGATCTTGATTGTACTAAACCCATACTTGTGCTATTTTTGTAGTCTAATGATGGATATATTTGCACACCTTTGTAAAAAAGAACAACTATGATGCATTAAAGATATGATATACGAGTATGCTTTCAATGTTAACTCCAGTTCTATAACCCAGCTGCTAATGTAAAAATAAGAAGGTGCCTATTATGTTAATGCAAACCTGTTGTATGAACATACAGTAGGGAAAAATCTAATATAAACTGCAGCATTTTGTTACCTTAAAATACTTATTTAAAACTCTTTTTTGTTGTATGATTACAGTTACATTAATTTTGTTGTTTGTTGGTACACTTTTAAGCAACTCATTTTTTACTAATTTGTTATTTATGTTTGTATTTTTATAGAAATAAATAAGTTTTAACTGATTTATTTTTATTTTCTTCCTTTTTACATTTTGGTAGTGGTGTTTCTTATGTTCAATCGTTTTCAGTTGTCAAAAACTCAACAAGGGGACGTGGCGACAATGCAATCATTAATATACACCTTTTTGTAGATTTGTGACTATTTCAAACTTACATACGTTTTACTTCCGATGCCCAATTGCCGTGGAAGCTACAACTTTATAATTCCCGAATTTTTATGAAATTTCGACACAGTGGTACTACCTTGTCAAGAAAAACGGTTTTGTAAAAGGAGCAAAAAACAAGGATTACCAAAATGTCCCCAAAGTTATTTTGGAATTTTTCAGATTGAGATAATTTTTAGGTGCAATACAAAACTTTTTAAGGTTTAATACCACTTTAACGGAATGAAAAAAGTATTTATTTGTATTTTTATGGTGGAAGGAATGGTAATAAAATAATAACTTTGGAGGAAGTTATTAAGCATATATTTAAGTATAAAAATACATTATCACGAAAAAATATTTAAAAATAGCGACGACCCAGTATTTTTCTAGAAACGTGATTTTTCAAAACAAGCATAATCGGAACAATTATTCTATTCATTCGAATTTTAACATATCTTTAAAATAACATTTTTAACGTAAATACCTATAACGCGGGAGCACTAAGGGCCATATCGACAGTCCTTCCTGGAATTGTAGGACGCCTTTATGGCCTCCTTGATTTTTCCGTCTTTTCTCTACTTCAGAAAGGTGTATTTACAGATTTATACTGTTCCGTGTCAGCGTCAGCGCTCTCCTATCGTGAGGTTATACTTTCCTTTTGAATTGTAGGGCATTTTAGGCAAAAGCATGAACAATTTGATGCAAGTAGATATTTGTAACATAATCTCAAAATACACCGCTGACACGGACCAGTACAAATCTAGAAATACCCCTGAATTTGAAAAAACTATGAAAATCAAGGGGGCCATAAATGCGTCCTACAATATTGTAAGAGTGACTGACGATACAGCCCTAAGACAATCTACTTAATTCCATTTTGTTTTTAAAATAACAGGACGAGGGGCATATCATAATGCGGTTGTTCTCAATCATTATGACAATCAAAAGCCGATGCAATCAGTGACGTTTTTGCTGATCAACCTCCAAGCACTCAAGAATTTTTCTAAAATGATCAGGATAACCAGGGACGTCTAAAACGTGAGAAAATGAAGTTTAGTTAATTTGTATTTTCCTGTTTTTTGCTTAGAACATTTCAGTGATGCTTTGTATGTCCATAGAGGGACCCAGAATTACTGGACAGGGGACAGTCAGTCATAATCTTTCGTGAAGACATATACGAGGTTGTCCGTAATATGCTTTAATTAAATGTGTGATATAAGGTGTTGACGTGCAACTTTTAAAATCGGTATTTTTTTCTATAAATCAATGTTTTTACGGATCATGGAAATTGGGGTTTCTAAGGATGAAGAACGTTAAAGAGAAGTTATAAAAAGAAAGGGCATTGCGCGCAGTGTCTTTGTAGTTTGCTGGTCGCATTCATTGACCTTTTCATTCCCATCAAATTGGCTTGGCACTGCGTTACTGGTTGCCTGTTTCAACACAGTTGACAGCAGAAACAGATCCATATATGAGCGAATTGACAAACTGGGCAGAAGAGCGGGGACGCGTCCATCCCGTGTTGCATTGCCAGCAAATATTTAAAAACGGCTATAGAATGAAACGTCTAAGATTATTATTTACTATGGAAACAAAAATAAATTTGAAAAAACAAATGCTTACTTAATTGCTATAATATCTGCTATAAATGAATCGTTTAGATGAAAAACAGTATATGTCCCAAATTGTACTTTTGAAAAAATCAATGAAAACCGTATAGCTTTAAAACTGTTTCGGATAGAATGCTTACTTGCACAGGAAAGTTCTAGCTCTTATTATTTTTGAACCAGGTAAGCTCTTATTATTTTAAAAAAAGGTCATCTATTGAGTAATGCCCTACAAAGGGTAGTGGACTTGTACTGTTTTTCAACTAAAGCCAAAAAATGTGAGAAATTGGCGAAATTATACTAAAAAATTATTTATTAAGTATAACAAAACTATTTAGGAATCCTGTTCGACCTCGGTAGTACACCATGAA